TGTTTTGGTTTTTTTCCCAGCCAGAAAATTTCACAGACTCATGCATTATAAAATCAGCAGAAAGATTTGGACCGCATTGTTGAAATGTATTATATGATTAAGGACAAGAGCACCTTACGTCAAACCTGTACTTGTGCTAAAGTGTCTATTTTAGAAAGCCAGCCTCAGGTTAAGGTGCTCTCTCATTTTGAATTTGGAGGTGTCCTTGCTAAAGCTTTTTTGATGATTAAATATCCCCAAAGTTAACATTTTGCACCTCATTACTTCCATGAGCGTATAGCTTCTGCTTTTCACCTCTGAGGCTTGCTATGCTTTTGTCAGCCTGATTTACAGATTCTTATAAAACCCAGCAGGATGGCTGCTGCCGAGGTCTTGTTTAATTCCAGCCACACTGTGCTCTAAATCATGAGTAAGTAGAGACTAGAAGCCTGCCGACACCTTAGTTCTCAAGGTCCCAGTGCTTTTTGTTTATGACCATTAAATTTGCTACATGGAGAAGGCAGTTAGAAACCAAGCTTTGCCTTTCCATGCTCTGACTGGAAGACGTGAATGTTTTTGATGTGCTTTTTTCAGATGGCCATCCTATTCCCCACTCTGCCTTGTGTTTGTTCTCTCTCCTGTTCCCTGTCTCACTTGTCTCCATTCCTTTCCCTTCCATTTGCTGAAGCAGATGGTGCTGAGCCGAACTCCAGCAAGCTTCTGGGGGTCCCACTGACGGAGGAACCACAGCAGAGGCTCAAGTGGCAGGCTCATCTGGAATTCACACACAACCATGACGTGGGCGACCTCACCTGGGACAAAATTGAAGTCACCCTACCCCATTCAGACAAGCTGCGCTCCCTGGTGCTAGCTGGCATCCCACATAGCATGAGGCCACAGGTGAGAGTGCTTCCTGTTCTGCGTGGGCGCTCCTGCCTGGAGTAAGAGATAGTGGAGTGAGATCTCTTGGTTGAGAGGCTGCCAGCTCATGACTTTCTGTGTTTGTCTGAGTGACTCCTCCTATCTCTGTTCACCCTGTCCCCCCAGCTGTGGATGCGCCTTTCAGGGGCTTTGCAGAAGAAGAGGAACTCAGAGATGTCATATCGGGATATTATAAAAAACAGCTCTAACGATGAAACCATTGCTGCCAAACAGGTGGGAGAAACTTCCTAATGCTGAGTGGGGAGAAGGGCAAGAGCAGCTGTGTGAGAAGGAAGGGGTGTCTGCCTGACACCTGCTGCAGGGACAGTTGAGAGGATGTGTGGTTGAATCCTGCTAAACCTTAATCCTGTGAGGCATATTTCTCCTTTGTTTTGCTGGAGTAGCAACTGTGCAGCTCTGCTCCTTCCTAGGACAGCAGGGAAGGGGTTTGACCCATGCTGCTTGCAGGCTAAAAAACAGTGCTGCAGTTGCATCTCAGCAAACATCCTGATATTCATTGAGAGAAATGAAGGGTGAAAGGCTGACAGATGCACCTCTGTTGAGGTTGTGGTGGCTGTTTCCAGGGCCTGTCTTTGTTCCCCCAAACACAAAGTCTCTAAACACTAATAAGACTCTTACAGGGTCTCCTCAGGGTGTTTTCCTTTGATCTCTCCTTTTTGTGGGAGGAGGGAACAGCAAAAGAAACTGAGCTCTGTGCATGTTCACCTCTCACCAAGAAGAGTCAAAATAGTTGGAAGGAGAAACAGCACTGCTCAAGGGAGATCTGTGGGTTCTTCACCTCTAAGTCCTCATTCACAGATGTGGCCAGATTGTTGATTTTTCTCTGGAATAGGTTTTTCGGGAAGCCTTGCTTGAAATCCAGGCAGGTGAAATTCCCAACTAGTGTGCTTACTATTGTCAGTGGTGAAACTAGGGCCTGAGTTTAGACGAGTATTTCTTGGGAGTCAGCAAGTCACTGTCTGCACTGGCATTTTCCCTCTTGTCAGTGAAGGTTGTTAAACTGACTCAGGTACTCGGACAGGGCCACCTTCTTCAGTGCCTGAGGATGGGTGTGGGAGGCAGAGTTCCCTGAAGCAGGGGGCCATGGGGAAGTGCAGATAGCAGAAGGCAGTTGTTCAGGTGCTGCAAGCTGACTCTGTCCTTGTTTATGGCCGACAGATTGAAAAGGACTTGCTACGCACAATGCCCAGCAACGCCTGCTTCTCCAACATGAACAGTATCGGAGTGCCAAGGCTACGCAGGATACTACGGGGACTTGCCTGGCTCTACCCAGAGATTGGATATTGTCAGGGCACTGGCATGGTAACCTGCTTTCAGAGTGTCTTTGTAATAGGGATCAATGTGTCTGTGGTCGCAACAGCAGAGCGAATGATTTGAGGTAGTGCCGCCAGATACTGTGGTCTCCACATGAGCTGAAGAGAAATCCCTTCCAGATGGAACACTTTTCCTAGGAAAGGGAGAGCAGAGTAGCACCACATATCCAAAGATATTGAAGAATTCAGTTCATCTGTTGGGGAGGGTGCAGGCAGTACACTGAGGAGAAATCCCTTCAGTGGAGGCTGCAGGAATGCTGCTGCAGAAGGAACATTTTTGTCACCTAGATACTGGTCCATCTGTCCACGTGAGAAAGTGGGGAAAGAGTTCTATTCCTCTTAGGACAAGCAGTTGTTCTTCCTTCAAAATCCTAGGTGGCTGCTTCTCTGCTGCTCTTCTTGGAGGAGGAAGATGCCTTCTGGATGATGTGTGCTATCATTGAGGAATTGGTTCCTGCCTCCTACTTCAGTACCACTCTCATGGGCGTGCAGACAGACCAGCGTGTCCTGCGGCAGCTCATCGTGCAGTACTTGCCTCGCCTGGACAAGCTGCTTCAGGAGCATGACATTGGTAAAAGTGTGCCCTAGAAACCGTAGCTTTTCTTGCCAGGATGACATGCAGACAAAGACTGTTATTCTTTTTTCACAAAGGTAGAGCAATAGAGAGAGGAGCAAGCCTCCTGACCCTGGAGGCAGTGCATGGAGGACAGCCCTTAGAAGAGTCCATCTTCACTGGTTGACTGACTTCTTCTGTTGTGATTATTTTCCATGTTTTTATTCACAGAGCTCTCCTTGATCACCTTGCACTGGTTCCTCACCTCTTTTGCTAGTGTTGTCCACATCAAGCTGCTGCTGCGTATTTGGGACCTCTTCTTCTACGAGGGCTCTCTGGTGCTGTTCCAAGTCACTTTGGGCATGCTAAGTATGAAGGTGATTCCCCACTCCTCTTCCTCCTTTATAGTACTTCAATGTTTAATTCTGAGATTTGGGGGCAAGAAGGTTTAGTATCCATTTGCTGTATGTGATTTGGGAGTGTGCTAGGGAAGATGTCTTCCTGCTGCCTTTGAAACTGGAGGCTGTGAAAAACTTCTAAGGCACTTTGCAGAAATTAGTAATTGCTGTTTCCTGTGCATACATCATTTGTTGCCCCATAATTAAACCTCATCAGCTGCCCCTCTCTATTCAGTCTAGATCCCAACCTGAGAGTGCATCTTACCTAAACCAAGATACCCCTCGATTTTGCACAATCTGTGAGGAGAGAGAGAAAGCCAAATTTGTGGTCATCTGAGAAGCTTTGTATGGCACTATTGAATGCTCTAAGAGATGAGCATTTTTCTGACTGCATTTGATTTGGCCTATATTTAACTCCTTGATCTTTTCCTTTTTATGTGGGAAACAATTTTGTGTTCAGTTTTCTGTGTGAAGGACAAGGGAGATCCTGCTGGGAGTAAGGGGAAGGTGGAGCACAGTTTGACATGGTAGATGCTCTGTAGTGTGTGAGACTGAGCAGCTTCCATTCTTTTATCTCTAGCAAGATCCCTGCTGCGCCCAGTCCTAGTGGTTGGTGCCAAATAGGTTTGGTTTTGTTTTTCCTTGCCGATTTGATTTAATTTCAAGGATGAATGCTGTGATTCAAAAAAATGCCAGCTAGAATTCTGGGAGGAGGGTGCAATAGAGCAGTAAAAGATGCTATCCCCCTCCCAAAAGTATCTTGGACTTTTTCTGCCGAAGTTTTTTTTATGAAATTGTCTAGTTGTACCTGCCCAAGGTGTACACTGAAAGTAAAAATGCATCTAGCAGCCTCAAGAGCCCAGCTGTCGTGTTCACTGCTCAGTGTGGCAAAAAATCACTGTGTTGTTGCAGGAGGATGAGCTAATCCAGTCGGAGAACTCTGCCTCCATCTTCAACACGCTCTCAGACATCCCAAGTCAGATTGAAGACGCAGATGTGTTGCTGCGGGAGGCCATGCGCGTGGCTGGCTCGCTGACAGACGTGGCAGTGGAGACCCAGCGCCGCAAACACTTGGCCTACCTCATTGCTGAGCAAGGGCAGCTGCTCAACTCCAGCACCACCGTCAACAATTTATCCAAAGTGAGTGCACAGAGTCCCACCTGCCTCTGCTGCTCTGCTTTTACTATTCCCTTACATATTCCCACCCTGTTTCTGTTTGCAAGCAAGAGGTCCTCCTGTTTGAGAGGATTTTTGGCTCCAGGATAATTTTGTCATCTGTTGGAGAAAAGGTATTGGGAAGTTGGAGGACAGTCTATACCAATGAAATGCTGCCAGATCTGTCCTGGTTGATAAATCCCCAGATGAAAGAGGTATTGCCATTGATTGTAATTATCATTAATGAGAGTTATGATGAAATGTAACATATTTCATTAATGGAAACTGAAAGAAACAACATATGTTTTTGGCAGAATTTGCTTGAAGCACACAGAGAGTAGGAACTGGATTTAATCCATTAGTAAGAAACTGGTACAGTAAAATAATCTTGGAATGTAGAAATGTAGAGTCAGAAAACAGCAGCAACTGCCTTTGAGAAGCTGAATAAAAAATGCAACTGTGTTTAATCTTGGACTGAAATCTACAGTTGCAGACAAGACACTCTTGCAATTCTAAAATATAATAGTTATCCACTTAGAAAATTATATACAATTACATGTGTAGCTGCTTTTGACAACAAATTAAATTATTCACGTGAGTTGTGGTTGATTCTCAAACTTCAATTATGCTTTCATAATAATTAAGCTATAAATAACCTGTTGCACATGGAACAGGTCAAGCAGTGGAACTGATTCATTGCCTTAGGACTAGAACAACTCCTGTTGAAAACTGCCAGTTCACTTGCCTGCCCCTTCTAATGGTAGCTGTCAGGACCCCTTACCCAGAGCTGACTGGTGTGGAGGGTTGCTTTATTTAATTTCTGAAATCTCTCCTAATGTGTGCACTTTGTTTTCTCTCTTCTGTTCCCTCAGATTGTGCGGCGCAGGACTCAGCGCAGGAAATCTGGCATCACCTCTCTGCTTTTCGGTAAGGACAACCCTGTGCCCTTCACGTGCTGTTGATGGCTGTTGCAGCCTAGGAAGGAGGGAAGTGAGCAAAGCAGAGAGAGAAGGGAGCCAGAACTGAAGGATGAGAGGGAAGAAGTGCAGTTTACTACTTGATTGCTTTGATCTGAGCTCAGAAAGTAAATTTTAGTTTAGACTGTTAGTCCATGGATGGTGAGCAACAACGGGTGCAGCTCAGCCCAGCTGTAATGTCCTTGCACTGACCAACAGGGCAAACACATTTTCTGGCAGACCATATGCAGTCCACAGGCTGGATGTGGTACTTTCCTGATGTTACTCTGCTTGGTTCAAGAACATCTCGGAAGATCTGAGACAGGGCAGGATGTCCAGTGCATCACCCATCAAAATTTATAAATGCAAACATCATTATGTTTCCCCTTACTTACTCTGAGAGTTCAGTGCTGTGAACACTTTTGAGTCTTTATGAGCTAAGCCAAAATATGTCCAGAAAGCTCACAGCCAGAATATGTTTTTCATGGGTTTAACACTAACTTATTTCTTTGACTCCGTTAGAGTCCCTTCTACTGTAAGCCTTACTGTCATCACCATCCTTGCAACTGGTTAGCTTTCTTGAAGTTGCCACATGTCACCACAGGAATTTTTTTTCTTGGAGGAAGACAACATACTAAATTTACAGGTTTCAAACAGTGTTCCTGTTGTGGTTGAAATGGCCTGAATAAATCTAAAATTGTGTTTTACTGGTCTTTCCAGAGAATAGCTTTTCTGATGTTCTCTATGCTTCCACACAGAGCATTACTGAGAAAAATTCTAGTAGAATAACTAATGAAGCTGTAAAGTCAAGAATGCAGAAGTGAAGAAATGCAGGAAAGTTGCTTAAGCGACCTAAACTCAGAGCCCTTGTATATAATGTTATCCTACAGTCAGTACAGACTGAACTGGCAGGGAACTTGGCTGCCACATGCATCTTTCTTGTGTCTCAGACAGTCTCCTTTACTATGTTTGAGTCATTTTATGACGATGATAGTGAGTTATACACATGCACAAAGATGAAGTTTAAGTTCAAGCTCCAAAATATATTAGTGGTAGAATCGAGATGATTGATAGTGTTTTCTCATTTTAGTGGGGTTTCGGTACAGTGACTGTCATGTTTTTTACCTAATAATATTCTTAGTATTTGAAATGTTGGTTAAAAACAAGAAGTTGACCAGAATGGAGAACTTCAGCCCAAGTGAGAAGAAGGAAAGGTTGGATGTAATAAGTTCACCTTATACTGGGAACTGACAACTGAGCAGTGGAAAGTCTTCTGCTTGTGATAGTTACTGTGTAGAACTGGTACTTAGTTTGGGAGGGAATAAGAACTCACCCAGAGCTTAAATTCTTCTTCCTTAGAGTGAATGCAGATGTAGTAGTAACTTGGACAGGAGTCACAGGAGCACTGTTTAGAAGAGACCTCTCGCTGTCTGTGTTCCAGCCTCTTCTGCTCAAAGCCAGACTTTTGCTCCCACTAGATCAGGTCAGCCAGGGCTTTCTCTAGTTGAGATTCAGGGACTTGAACCAATTTCCAATGACGGAATAGAAAGAAACAATGAAAAGTAATTTGATGGAGAGCAAAATGTTCATGTTGCCCTTTTCCTGTTGGATGGACGCTGCAACAAGGGAATGCAGAAGAGCTAGTCCTCCTCTGCACAGCTGTGCAGCTAGTCAGTCTTCACAGGCTCAAAGTAGAGCTTCCTCATATGTGGCTGATCATGCACTGGTTTCCTGTTTGGAAATGTAGGTGCAGTCATGTTGAGTGCAGTGAGGTGAATCTGGTAGAAACACCAGTTGCTTTCCTCTGTACAGTCTACCTTCTAAGATGGGATAATGCTTCCCATGTCTTCTGCTTGCGTTTTGGGGGGATTGATCTGAACGCAGAGGGAAGAGCATGGTATTTTGGCCAGATGGGACTGAATGATGACAGAAAGAATTGGTGATCTATGTAAATGAGGGCAGCCCACAGAGCTAGTGCAGCTGTGGTTGGGTTTCTTCTTTAGTCGCATTCTATTTTAATCACACGAATTTTCTGGGAATCCCCAATGTCTACGTGATAACCTATCTATTTACAATCTTCGTGTCTCTGAATCTGTAGTGAGAGTTCATGCATGCTCTGTTTCCTGCCCCCGGCCACAGAGGAGGAGATTTTGTTAGGTTTTTGTTGATTAGACTGCGAGTAACTATGGCCTACAGTTTTTTTTAGTCTAGAAGCAAGGTTCAGTTTTCTCTTAAGATTTGTGTGTCTGATTCTCCAATCATTTAATTTAGCAAACAAAAAACAATTCTAAAAATAATTTTAAATCTAATTTTGTGCTTCTATTTACGTTTCTAAAGTTTGGGTCCTTTCAATTAGGATCACATGATTAAAAGATATTGTTAGTCACTTTTCAATAAGCAGAAGCTTAATGTGTTAAGCTGTTGCAGTAGCTGTACAGCTCAGACCACACTTTATTTGTATTGTTTTCTGCAATGCTGTTAAAAGATAAGCAGAGTACTAATTTGCTAGCCAATTATTTACTTGGGTCCTGAGTAGAAGCTGTGTTTGTATAAACATTGGAGTTCAGTGAAAAATTCACTGTTTTAAATGTTGATTTTGTTAATCAAGCTACCACATCTTCACTATATTATAGAGAGAGGAAAAATGTATGAAAAAGATGTATGAAAATACATTTTGAATTTAAAACAAACTGATTTTTTTTAGAAAAAGAAGCAAATGATTCATTGTTCCCAAATATCATGTGCCCAGTATTTCTGGCATTCAGATACATTAACTGTCTCAAGAATCCATGCCATTAGATATCTTTTTGCATAAAGTAATAGAGATAGGCTGTAAAAAATCCTGGGTGAATTAGCAACTTTTACTTTGTGCTTATGACTGTTTCTATACAATCCAAACCTTTGAAATTTGGCTCTTAGGGAGGTTGAGGTCTTAAGCAGGTGGTGGCTTTTCTCTTGTGGCTCTGGCTTCTAGACTGGCACAGGAAAATGGGCTGTCATGGTTTTTCAAATCTCTTTCAAGACTCGGTGAAGAATATGCTCTCATCCAGTGAGTTATACAAATATCAGAAGTAGTTCAACCAACAGGTGATTCAGTTTCAAGTGACTTTCAGTTGGAGAGGATTATTGCAAGTTCCCCAGTTTTGTGTCCCACCATTCAACCGACTATATATTGTAGACACTTCTCTGAAGTAGTACCTTGGTATACTGAGTTTCCCAGGCAGACCAGAAATGACATCTTTGAGCTCCATATGTGGTTTGAAATATCATATCCTTAACATTTGATCCAGTCAAATTGGTATTTGCTATTTACATTATTGAATAGATTGGCAGTATCTGATGTCAGGCTTTTCTGATTTCTGCAGAACCAATGATTTCTAATGTTAACAAAAAATAAACACCTTGTACCTGATTTCCTTGCCTTGCCTTCTCTTTTGCTGCATGGGCTCCACCAGGGGATGATGATCTGGAGGCACTGAAAGCCAAGAACATCAAGCAGACAGAGCTGGTGGCTGATCTGCGTGAGGCCATTCTCCAGGTGGCACGGCACTTCCAGTGTGTGGATCCCAAGAACTGCAGCATTGTGAGTGGAAACAGCTGGATATGCACTGCTGTGTGATCCAGGCACGAGTGTTGAGTGTCCACCACAGGACAGGACTGTTCAAATGCTCCTGAAATGTGGGCTTGAGAAGGAACATGCCGGGTGTAACGGGTAGAGGGTGAGGCTTGCTTAACCCATCCCTGGTGGAGGAAGGCTGTGCTGGGATGTTGTCTGCTGGCTAGGAGCAGGAAAAGGTGTGGGAACAGCGGCATGCAAACTTTGGCAGATCAACTGGGAGTCACCTGTTGCTATTCATTCCTCTCTGCTCTCATCTACTTGCATGCTAGGATCTGACTCCAGACTACAGCATGGAGAGCCACCAGCGGGACCACGAGAACTACGTGGCCTGTTCTCGCAACCGACGCCGGCGAGCCAAGGCACTGCTGGACTTTGAGCGCCACGATGACGACGAGCTGGGCTTCCGCAAGAACGACATCATCACGGTGTGTCAGCCTATGAGACAGGGACCAGGGCAGGACCACACAGACCCGGATTGTTCGGGACACTGCACTACCTCTTCTGCAGGGAAAGAAGGGAGGAGATAAGCTCAGAGCCCAGTTAGGAGCCCAAGAGAAGCAGCTGGTGTTTTGGGGGCTGCCTGGGGGTGAGGCAGTGTGTTCCTGTGAGTGTTGTCTTGTGGGTCATTCTCACTGCCACCACAAAGTCCCTTTCCTGGCTGTCAGAGCTGTGCAAAAGGCGAATTTGATCCAACACAGTTTAACAATGTGCACTGAGCTGTGGTAAGACTGTAAAAGCATCCATTTGCATTTTAGCTGTGGGTGTCCCATCTGAAACTGGGGAGAACAGGGGTAATGTTGTGTTTGCAGTAGCTTTGTGCCTTTGAAGGCCCCAAGCCACATGAGAAGAGAGCATTGAAAAAACAGTTGAGAAGAAAGCAGTTTGTCATTGTGGACACACAGCTGGGCAGCTGTAGCCCTCCTACCACTGCACTCTTCAACTGATGATTTCCTCTCCCTGTTTTTCAGATCATTTCCCAGAAGGATGAGCACTGTTGGGTGGGAGAGCTGAATGGACTGAGAGGTGAGAACAGGATGGGTTGCACTGGGGAGAGTGGGGCCCGGATGCAGAGCATCCATTCATCTGCAGCAACTGCTCTCATACATTTGCAGCAAAGGCTCTGTCAGGTACCCAGAGTATCTGCCAGGGACAGAAGAAATGCTAAAGCAGGGTATGAGAGCAGTGACCTGGTTACTTCTTGCAAACAGCAAGTTTAGGCTCCATTCTTCTGGCACAGGGTGTTTGGATGCATGTCATCACTGCTGCATGTAGACAGTGTCCTGTAATTGGTTTCCTCATGCAGTTGCCTTAAATATTGTATTTTGAGGCTGCTCGCTTCCTTCTTTGGGGTTGGGCCCTGTGAACTCTGATTTATTCTCAGCTCCCACTGGGCTCTCTGTAGGGATTTCTCAGTGTCTTTGTCAGGCTTATCTCTTTGTCCTTTCTTTGTAGGTTGGTTTCCTGCAAAATTTGTGGAAATCTTGGATGAGCGGAGTAAAGAGGTAATTAAAAAAAAAACAGAACTACAAAAAACTCCCCACATTAAAATAAAGAGTTATGTCGTAACTGAAAAAAACACAGATGAAGGGAGTCATGTATTTCCCTCCTTCAGTCTGTTTGCTCTTTCTGGCTATTGAGCGCTTTGTGGTGTGATGGGGCAGGTTATTTTCCTAAGCCTGTTTGCTCAACTTCCTCATGCTGACCAAGTGGAGAATGAGGGCCCCAGAGGGTGCCAGGGCAGCCAGTGTAGGATGCCTGGGGTTGCAAAGACCCTAGAGATGAAACTCAAGAAAGCTGAGAAAGCAGCAAGCAGATAGGCAGGAAGATTCTGTGGGTAGTGTTTCTGTCTTCTCCCTGCTGCTTGTGTTCTTTTCCTCCTTTGAAGTTGTGCCTGTGCTCATGCTTTGTGGCCATGGCAGTGAATTCTCCCCAAACAGCTGTGCCCAAGGGGCATTCTGTCTCACTTCCTCTCACAGCTGGCAATGGTGAGATACCACCTATCGAGAACAGATACGTCAATATGTCCCCAAGGCTGAGGTAATGTGTAGGAGACAGACATCATCAGCTGTTGACCTAAGCAATTTTCAGGGGAAGTGGAGAAGGTCCTGTTCTCCCTCTTCTCCTCAGCATTTGGAATGTGAGGAAGAGCTCAAAGGCTGACCCGAAGCCCCACTTGCTTCCTCCCCCCGCCTCAGGGCTGGTTCCTTGGATGCAAATCACCTCTCTGTGTATAAACATGCTCTGTACTGCTGAGCGTTTCTCCTCCTAACTGTGGAAACAGAGAGGATCCCACTCATAGGATTGTTAACATAATATCCCCTCTGACCTGGAAATTCCTGTCTGTCCCTATTCGTCTTGACATTTAGCAGCTTACAGAGTCCCAGAGACCCTCGGTGCAAGTCCCTCTCCATACCTTAGCTCAGTCAGTGTCACACCAAACCACAGAAGTTCCAACATGCTGAACACTGCCACGATGGTGCTGGGGTCACCTGTGTGGTCTCCTGGGGACCACCAAAGGACAAAGGTCCTGGTGTCCCAGCAGATCTCCAAGCAGCAGCACAGAACATGGTGCCTTATGCAAGCACGTAAGGGGTAAAGGAGGTGGGGGCTGGCTGGCACCTGGGAGTGGAATTGATCTGTGCAGTGAAGGTGTAGGTGAGTGGACCACCTCCGTGCTCTGCCCCCTCACCAGTATGCTGAGAGCTGGCTCTTCGTGTTCCTCAGTACTCCATTGCTGGAGATGACTCAGTCACGGAAGGAGTGACCGACTTGGTGCGAGGAACGCTTTGTCCAGCCTTGAAGTCCATATTTGAACATGGATTGAAGAAACCGTCTCTGCTGGGAGGGCCCTGCCACCCTTGGCTGTTCATTGAAGAGGTGAGATGTCCCAGTTTCCTTCGTGGGGCAGTGTTGCCAGAGGGCTGGGGTGAGGGGGTTGTAGGGCAGAGTGTGCTGACTGTCCCTCTGCTCCTCTAGGCTGCAAGCCGGGAAGTGGAACGGGACTTTGACTCTGTGTATTCTCGCCTTGTGCTCTGCAAGACTTACAGGTAAGGCCACTTCAGTCACACCAAGTAGATGGGTCTATGCCCTGCCCCTGCCTGCTCATCAAACTGATGCTGCTCTGCACCTTGGGAAAGGTCATGGCCTACCTCATCCTCCTGCGGTTGTGGTTGTGCCTGTACTGACTTGGGGCCAGCGGTGGCTCTTGTTCGCTTCCCTGAGCTCCTGTGTTTGCATCTGGATCTGTATCTTGCTCCCTGGGCAAGGGAGCAGAGGCCCTGTGGGCTCAGCAGTAGCAAGAGAGCTGTTGTGGTATGAAGCAGGAAAGGCCTGTGTGTGCCTAGGGTGGTTCTGGGGTTAGCTAAGTCTCTGCTGTGATCTTTACAGGCTTGATGAAGATGGCAAAGTCCTCACTCCAGAGGAGCTGCTTTACCGGGTGAGTGCTGCCCTGAGCCCACTCAGCCCAGCTCCTACTTGCAGGAAATTTCCTGTGGAGGCTGCTGGGGGGAGATGCTTGAGAATATCACAAACCTTCTCAGCTCCTCTGGTGCTAGCAGGTGGCACTGGTGAGGGTGGGAGTTCCAGAGAGGGCAGAGTATGGCCGTGTTGCTGAAATGGCTGCCCAGTGGTAACCACATCTTCCCTCCCTGCAGGCAGTTCAGGCTGTGAACATGACACACGATGCTGCACATGCACAGATGGACGTGAAGCTTCGTTCTCTCATCTGTGTTGGACTCAAGTGAGTCATCTGGCCATTGTGGGTGCAAGGAGCTTGGGAAGGGACACAATGGGCTTAAGGGCAGCAGTGGTTTCAATCTACCTTTGGCCACAGTGTCTTTTTCCCCCCTCTCACTGCAGCCAGTGAGTGGGACTTGCTCCTTATTCACTGTGCTGGCCTGAACCCTAGCTGGAAGAAGTAGCTCCTTTTGCATGGAGTGGCTCACACAAGTTTACTGGGTTATCCTGTTCCCACTGGAGACAGGACTGGGGTCAAGGCTTGGGCTGAAAATAGACAATCCCAGAGGGATGCGGGTTCTTTCCCTGGTTTCAGCCGAGTAACATGCCTCTACCCCGTTGCTGCAGTGAGCAGGTGCTGCATTTGTGGCTGGAGGTGCTGTGCTCAAGCCTGCAGACCGTGGAGAAGTGGTTCCATCCCTGGTCATTCCTGCGCAGTCCCGGCTGGGTGCAGATCAAATGTGAGCTGAGGTAAGTGTCTGGGGTCTGGGCAGTGTAAGTGGGCAGGGTCTGGAATGGATTTCCTTCTCTGCAGGAGGTGGCCCTTGCCGTGGCTGGGTTTGGGCCCTCTCCAGTGTGTCACAGCATGGGCTGCCCAGAAATTTCCTACTGTGTGCTGAGCAGCAGCTCTCTAGATGGTTTAATACAAGGTACTGTGCCTGCCTGATCCAAGAGCAGAGCTTGGCTGCTGGGGACCTGTTGTGACAAGCATGTAGCCTTTGCCTGGCAGTAACCTCCTGCTGTGTCCTGCAACTGCTCTGATGGAGAGACTGCCTTTTCCACCCTATGTCCTCTGCCAGCCACCGTAAATCCAAGCAGGGAACAGGGAATGTGCTAGGGAGACAGTTGGACTGTCATTGGCTGAGAAGGACTCGGTCATCGACTGACTCCCTGGTTAAGCAAGGGAGTGATGTCAGGGGTTGGAAGCAGCTTTAGTGCCTGAGCTCACACAAAGCACATCAGTTGGAGCCCAGGGCACACATCCATGGGTGTGCTCCTGGTCTTCCTGCACTCTGCAAAGCCAGGTGAAGTCCCAGGGAGCTGCCATCACCACTGCTCCAGCCTGGTTGCTGCTGCCATTCTGGGAGAACTGGCTTTTGTCTGCACCATCAAGTTGCCTTTGGACCCAGTGGGAGCATCTTTATCCAGAGCAGTCCTGTGTGTACATACCACAGGGTTCTCCTCGCGCTGCTGCTGAATGGGAGGGGGCTCTCTCCACCTCTGTGCTGCGTGTCCTGTGGCTGCTTTCTCACAGCATGGGGGCAGTGCCAGTTCAGCACAGCCGAAGGACTGAGTGGGACTGGTTCATGTCTTACGTCGTACTTGGCCAAGCCAGCAAGGGAGCTCCCTGTTCCAACTCCTTGCAGCACTTCTGCATGGGAGTCAGGACACTTCTCTTACTCCAGAGAGAGAGAGGCAGGGCTGCAGAAACTCTGAGGTGCTGCTGGCAGGGATCTGTTTTCTGGAGAGTGAACCTTCAACCCCCATTGCTAGCTGCGTGCAGCCCTTAGCCAGGCGTGTCTGCAGTGCCCCAGAGCCCAGGGCTGTCCCTGCCTCCCTGTGCTGCTGTACCAGGCTCTGTAGGGGCTGCACTTGAGTCACATCTTCAAGCTTCTCTTCCCAGCCTGGGCCTGGCAAGATGTGAAGCCCAGCGATGGGTAAACAGGGAATGAGTGACTGCTGCTGTCTTTTCAACACTATCCAACAAGGAATTTCATCCTTGTAAGCTTAGTAGCATGCTGGGACAAGCTGAGGAGACAATGCATTGGTGGGCACAGGCTGGGAGTGTGATTTGGGTGGGTGGGTATGTTTTACCATAGCTCTCTTCCATTTCCGTTGCAGGGTCCTCTGCAAATTTGCCTTCAGCCTCTCTCAGGACTGGGAGCTGCCAATAAAGAGGGAGGTAAGTAGGTGGCATCTCTCATTCTCTCACTCAGCTAGGGGCTTTGCTTACTGCCTCCCTCTCCCAGCTTTGTCCTCCAGCCCATCCTCTGCCTCCTCTTGAGCCAGCACCAGAGGCTGTGGATGGGGCTGCTTGCCACTGCCCAGCTGGGGCAGAGGGAAATGGCAGGCCCCTCCTTCCCTGGTGCTCTCCAAACCGCAGGGCCTCTCCCTGTTTCAGCTGTGCAGAGGTGGGAAGTGCAAAGGCTGCAAAGTGCTGGAGATCTCTGTGTGCTTGGGCTCTGCCCGCAGACACGACCTTCCCTTTTCTGGGTGTGGTGCACTTACCCAGGTCTCTATTGTCCTGCAGGAGAAGGAGAAGAAGCCACTGAAGGAAGGAGTGCAGGACATGCTCGTGAAGCACCATCTCTTCAGCTGGGACATAGATGGGTGACCCCCACCCCACCCCATGCTGGGAAACCTTCTCGACTGCACACACTCCTCTCCCCCACCCCTGTCATGTCTCACCCCTTGCCCTCCCCCACCCCACCCACTTGTATCTGTGACAAAATCCCCCTCGGGGGGGGCTGCCAGACCACCTGGGACAGATGGCAGCAGCGCCAAGAGGCCAAGCTGCCAACCCAAGGGAGGTGATGGTCGAGGGTAGTGCTGCAAAGGGACAAGTGTGTTCTGGCTACAAAAACCAAGTGCCCCGCTCCCAGCTTGCCTCAGCCCTGCCTCCCCACCAGAGCCTGGGGGAACAGCCTGGCCGGAGCACCTCGTGCCCCATGGACCAGCAGCTGTGTGGGTGTGTGAGCGTGGCTGTGGCTGTGGGGACAGCTCTTGCGGGGTGGCTTTGATGTGTGAAAGCTGGAGACGTTGGCACTTGGCACTGCAAGTGCATGTGGAGTTGGGCTGGTGAGAGACTCATTGCTGTAGAGGAGCAGAGAGAGCACATCCCCTCCCCATGCCAGCCAAGGGCTCCCCTCTGTGGGGGGGACACTTGGACAAGTTCCTTTGGCCTGGAGCCGGGGCTGAGAAGGGGGAACTGCCATCAGCATCATCCCACCTCCCCAGCACTGCTGTGTGGGGTGTTGACAAGAGTTGCCCAAGTTTACCAGCCTGTTACCACTGTAACAGCCTTAGGGGATGGTCCTTGTCTCCTCTGGGAGCAGACAAAAACCACCTCTCCCCTAAACAAGTGTTTCATGCTGTCATTTTAGTCTCTAGATGATTTTTACTGTTAACCAAAAAGCTGTAAATTTACTCCAGGAACATGTATATTTTGGCACTGTTGTAGCTCAGGACAAGGTTTAAGTTGGAGCTGGCTCAGGGAGACTTAACTCATCCTCCTCGCCCTGCAGTGGCAGTGGGGACATGGGTCAGGAGTGGAGAATTGCTGCTTTGTGGTGGTGGCTCTGGATATGGAGTCTGTGACTTTCTACTGAAAGCGCTTGTCTGTGAGCACAAACTACTCATGGGATGACACTAGATTCTTACTTTCCTTTATTTGGTGGGTTTGTAAATAAAAACTGCATCTTGGGAGAGTGCTGGGCTTTGTCTTATTTTTTGACAGGGCCAGGACTCAAGTTTTTAATTTCTGCCACTTGACAATGGCAACCCCATTTCTGCGCTGGGTTCTGCCAGCATCAAGCTGAGGTCTCTGCTCAATCTGTGCTGGTACCAAGGGAGCTCTTTGCATCAGAGCAGCCCACGAGGTCAGGCAGCAGCCAGGGCAGAGGTAGTTCTGCTGCCAGCAGTGGCAGCCCTGCCTTGCGTCTGCACCACCAGCCCTCCCTGAAGTGCAGCCCTGCAGCAGAGCCCCAGAAAAGCAAGAAAGACTGAAAACTAGGTGTTGTAGGGACACTGCAGGAGGAGGGCTCTTAGGAAAGGGAGTGGGGCTGGCAGAAAGCAGGGCTGGGTAGGGGAGACAGCAGTGTTGTCTGTACAGGTGTCTCCAGAAAAAGCAGGTGAAGTCTTATCTGCAAAGTGGGACAGTAACAGGGCACAGGCCTTTGGGAGAACTCTGTTGAGAAGCCCAAGCTTTTGGGAGGGTGGAAGTTGCAGAGTCTGTACTGATGTCAAAGTGAGTCTTTTCATTTGGCATGTGGCTGTGGAAAAGGCAGTGTCACCTCACCACCAGCTGGGGTCCAGACCAGCCTGCTGGGCTGGGGGAGGCTGTAAAAGCTGCCCCTGTTCTAGCGTAAGACCTACTTCTG